GAAGTGGCAATAGATCAATGTATAATTTTCATTCTCACCGTTCATTTTGAGCTCAAGCGCAAGAGCTCATGCCGATTTTAACGCCGGGCCAATATTTCAAAAAGCTAGAATTGGCCTTACATCATCGATACCGTCAACTACTTGCCCATAATTTTCCCATCTTCTATCTCCTGATCCTAATGCTCACTTGTACATATAGTGGCCCCACCAGGGGGCAACCATTTCAATTTCATGGACGATTCTTCTGTCCTTCAATCAGAACAAACAAAGCTTGTGGTATATAGGCTTTGGCATACAGTTAATTGCGCATTAGCTGTCGTTTGATATTGTCATACTGTATACTCAACGAAATGGCAATCTTTCCTGGGTGTGTCGTATCAAACAACACTTAAATCCATTACCTTCCCTGTCGGGAAAAAGGTAGGCATTGCAGAACCCTAATTCTCAGATAATTAATTCGTGTGTCGCCTTTCTGGACCTTTAGATGCTGTTGCATGGCCATTGAAAGTTAGTTATTTTCTTGAATGCTAGTCTCATGTCCTTACATTTTGCTTGCTTACAGGCACTCTTTTCATAATTTTGAGTGTCTTATCTTTGTTTTTGAAAGCTGAGATAAATAGCTAACATCCATAGCTAGCTTTATTGTTTTCTATACTCGTTTGTACAAATTCATAATCGATTGAACTGACAAATACAGTCAAACATATAAACAAACAAATATCAAATATTATAGAAACTATTTTGCATCAATAAAAGCAGAGACGAAAGAGTTGACTAGAAAGATCTATCCATGTAATTATTTCTATTTGACGTAATTACACAATACAATATATTACACAAAACTATGCGCGACACAAACAATGAGATCAACGATATCGGGAGAGAACGTTCATGGTCATGTGACGTGAAAGTTCAAAAACGATCAAGTTGTCGGTCGCGATGAGCTACGAAAAAAACCCGTCTATAGGTTGTTGAACCCGGAAATGGGGAAAAGGATAAGGACACTTGCAAAGTGTCTTCTTAGGGACAGGGACAGCAACCAATCGATAATTGATCGATTTATTTGTTTTGGGTTTACCTCTGCCTACAGGTTCAAATGTTGCCTTCTCATGAGAATCTTCTGAGAAACCAAATTCAGCTTTCCAACTAGATACAGGAAATAGATTAATATTCACTTGAGCTGATAGATTTGAGCTGATAGATATTACAACTCTCTACTATCATACAATATGCACATCCGCCTTTGCGGCCTTTAAATTTTCAACGGCATTTTCATAACAAGGCGGTGGCGTTTCCGGACGAGCCGCTTTATTTATTTGTTCAGGGACAACCGGTTTAGATGTACTCGGCCCTGAAACCATACGGATTACTGAATGCGTCCCTTTTTAGCGATGTAAAGCTGATTTACTTTGTTGCATAAGACCCGCAACGGACAACTGTTCGTATGTTGGTGGTGGTCGGTGTTGTATGAGTTGTTGCTCTTCTAGATGCATAGCGGACAGTGACATACATAGTACGTAATTCTGAAAGTATAATGTATGCTGCTATAGTATGTTCACGTGGAAGTTTTAGAACCTATTTTTAGGAACTCATATCCTTAAAATACAGAGCTGATTGAGATAGTCATTACATGGTCGTCACTACAATAGATTTCGAACCATATAAGTACCTTCTACAAATCCCTTTATGGCAAAAGCTTTTTGACTTTTGTAGCTAGAAGAACTGAGCAAATTTTTTCAAAGCAAGGAGTAACTACATGAGAAAGTTGATAAGTGAGCAGAGAGATTTTCGCAGATTTACTTTCAAGAACGGATACTCAGGTAATAAGCAAGTTACCGTACTTCAAAGAATTGCAGCATAACAGCAGTGAGTACAAACATGAGGCGCGATATACTCCCTTTCAAGCCGGCGTCCGCTTCTTGGATAGCGAAAAATAAGGAACAAAACGAGATTGACACCTTAAAAATAGCCGTATTGGATGTGAGAGAAGTACGTAGTTGCAGATAACATTAGCCTGTTTGAGCATAGCAACTGTATAAGTAAATTGTACTGTCTGCAGTCTTCAAGAGTTCCAGCTTGTTTGACAATGAAAATTAACTATTCAAACGTTTCATACCTTATAAATCACATCAGGAATCATGAGTACTGGTCGATTTAGA